CGGTTCAGCTTCCTTAAGCAAACTGTAAAATGAGAGAACGCTTTGACTTTAGTTGAGTTCAGTTGAACCTTCGGATAAAACGCGATAATTATTCTCGATGGTTAAAATAGCGCTTGCCTCACGATCGCTTGAACCATATAAGTTTGCGCTTGCGAATCCAACTGCGAGATGTGTGGAAGCGCCATGTGATAAACATGATCACCGCCACGACGATTATTGTGACGAATATTGTGACATTGCTGACAATATCGTATAGGATGATTTCCATTGTAACTCGCGCATTCGGTCGAAAAACAAATGCTGATGGCCGATTTGTCAGCTGCTCTACAATTCTGATCATAAAAACAAAAAAAAACAAAAAAAAAAAACAAAAATAAATAAATAAATCTATTTGAATCAAATATTATTTTAAATATTTGATCAAATGCGACAGCAAATTATATATGTACAAATTTATACTCGTTTGATTCAAGATGCTTACCTTGTTTTCACAAACCATGGATACTTGTTGCATCGGATGTAAAATATCATTAAACATTTGATTCGGATGCTCTCGATGGATCTCGTTCGCGCATTCGATACAAAGATAGAGAGGTGGCGGAGATTCAGTGGCAAATATAATGGAAATACGATGATCGTAACAAACTTTACCAGCTTCCGCATTGCCAGCATTCGGGCAGCTGTCCCGTTGACATACAAACGGAGTGAGATCGTCTGAAACGTAGATAATAAAAATTTTTCGCATCTCTTTTCGTCCCAGGAATATCGTTTGCTCTATCTTGTCTGTTATACATATCATATATATATATATCATATTTCTTAGAAATACAATAATTTTGATAATAATATCACATGTAAAAAAGTAAAAAAAAAGAACGTGTATGTATATAGAGATATACACGCAACGAGCGCCCACTAAGTATATAGCATTATTCCTTACCAAAACCTGAGTCGCAAAGTTCCGAACTATTTTTTTTACGCTTAATAAAAGAATTATTATTGAGTAAAGTCTGGCCAATTAGCGCCGATCTTTAACCAGGCGCAGTGAGCCGCGCGCCTAGTAGTGTGACCGTTTCGCCGCTAGCACAGAATATTCATAGAATATTCTATATACTTAGTAGGCACTCATTGCGTGTCACCCTATATACACACACACACACACACACACACGCACACGCACACGCATATATATATATATATATCATATATATATATATATATATATATATGTATACATATATAATACTTACTCGCAAATTTTACCAATACAGCACGACGGTCAAATAAATTTGGATTAAATGACGGCCAGTAATAGAAGAGCAATTTCGCAGCCGATGCTCTCGCTGGTGCAGTACCATAAGCGATGACGCAAAGTATATCTTTTACGACTCCTGGTTTCAAAGCCATCAGGCACTCCAGCAGTTGACAGTGATGCGCTAAAAGAGAATATTTATTTTTTTATATTATGCATATTGTATACCATAATTTTTATATATATCCTCCTCACACGCATCTCATACACACACACTTTTTGTAATAACAAAAATCTACTGAAAAATTTTAACATGCTGACACGCCATGCAAACAACTAATCTAATTCAACAATTTTAATCTATGATTTTATAAATTATATATATTTTACACAAATTTTATATATTTTTTCCACTTATACATGTACATATGAGGATACCTGGATTATTAGAATATTGAAACACCATCATTATAACAGCAGCTACTGACTGACTAGCAGCATTGTTGTCACTGGCTTCAACTCTTCTCGCTGAAAGTTAAAATACCCGTTACATATAATACCAATTTATTTGCTCTCTTCTCTCTATTGTTAATTAATCACAACTATTTAATATTTGATGAATATTGTATTATAAAAATAAAAGCGTTAAATTTAGTTAAAAGTTATAATTTTAAAATTGTACTAATTCTAAAATAAAAAATATGCATTATTCTACATACTATCGACTTGTTTCTTACTTGGCTGGCAGGCCAATTTCTCGTTCAACGAAAAAGCTCTTATTTCGGTAAAGTAATAAAATTTTCTTTTTGCACTCAATCTCTCCCAGATACCATTCTTTCTTGGAGAGAGGAGTAAATGTGCTTGTCATATAAGATATAGACATCAATTATATACTGTTACAAATATACAATAAAGATACTTACTGATAGTAAATGGCAAAATGTAAAAACAGAGGTAATTGACGATTTCTTCATGCAGTTCCATAGGAAGTACCGATATTGTGCTAGCAGTTAAGTATGATAAATTGTCAATTAGGTCATGATCGAGAAACGGCAGCAGGCATGCTAGACATTGCAACAAAGCTTTTCCAAATGCTACAAAATAAATATTAATATATTTATTATGTCTATTGAATTATATGCTTCGTTCAACAAGGACAACATTGTTTTAAAAATGGAGGAAGAAATATTACAGTAATTATAATTAATAGCCTATACAATCATAATCTGTAATTTACTGAAGGTAAGTGAAGCACTTTGTTCAAAAAAAAAAAAAAAAAAAAAAAAATCCACTTTTTCTTTTAATTACTATTTTAGTAATGATAGTGCAACAAAGAAAAGATATTAAATACCTTGCAAGCCTATGTGAATCAATGGTACAACATCAATTAGTTGCGTTAGTGCATTGTAAAGTTGTTTATAATCCAAATTTGGATACAATGCCATTCGGTCTCCATCAAATTGTTGCGACTTGATCATTTCAAATGGCATTTCACGTACTTCTTTTAACAGAGCTGAAAAATTTCGATCTTGTCACATTACTAAATGGATTATGAACGAGACAATACAATGTGTAAAGAAACAAACTACTAAATATAATATAATATAACACAAACTAAGAATACTAAAACACGACCACTTACATAGCAAAGTTTGAGAAAAATATTTTAGCGTGTTTGCAATATCCAAGCCAGAAGGCATCGGCTGAGTCCCATGAAGTAGCCGTTGATAATAATCATGTAGACTAGTCAGCTTTAAACTGTCTGTAATTAAAAATTTCAAAACATACATAAAAAATATTGCTTTTATTGTACATATTAAAAACTGGCCGGAAATATAACGTTCATATCATCAAGATTTATATAAATTACGAGAGAAATGGATTTTAAAAATTTTTCAATAGATACAAAAAGTAATATATAGTAAGTGTGATAATTACAGGCTGCAAATCTAGTTCCCATCGTATAAATCCACTTGAACAAACTTATTCCCACATTATACACAAGTATGTCAAACTGTTTTGGATCACAAATTAAACTCTAATAAATTTTAATAATAAGGGATTCATTGAAACGTGCTAATAGCGCGCCGAAAAGATTTGTCGTTAAATGATAATACTTTCGACGAAAAGGACGAAAACAATCCGCACCCTACAAGCAAGCGAAAAATATCCTGCAATTTCCTTGTTTCTCGTAGGATAACGGGAGGCAGTAGCAGTGATGCCTTACATCCCCATGGAGCGTAATGAGCGCACCGCGGACCAATGCGCAACCAATCACGAGTCATTATTTCAAAAGAGTTAAAACCGCATTAAAACTTATTTAACATTTTTAATCTTCATCGAAAATTAACAAATTAATAATTTTCCTAGCGACACCGTTCTCACCTATCGGCCGCCTATCGGAACTAAATGCCGGAGCAATTAAGGAGCAATCGTTTGAGCTATAAATTATTAAAAAATATGAACTTCCAGCGCCAACTTATTTCCGGTGGGATTTAGTATATGGAAAAAAACTCGTTACATGCTACTGTAGGTAAGTAAATCTTTGCATTGTCGATAATAAAACAATAATTTTACAATAAAATGTTTATTTTATTGTTCTTGAGACAATTACATAAAAGATCTTTACATTTTCGATAATAAAACAATAACTGGATGAACTAAAATAACGCGCAGCGAATTTTTTTTTCCAGTCACACTAAATCCCATAAGACCACCGGTCTTTAATAATATCTCGTCGGTGTCCACGCTAATTCCTGTAAAGTTGACCGTCTCTTTAATAATATCTCGTCGGTGTATATTGTATGGAGCATGGAGTGTGGAGTGGAGGTGGAGAATGCAATATGGCTGCGGCGAGGGTTCGATTGGATAAAATGATAGAAAATGGCATGCAAAGTGTTATTAAATTTTAGTGAAATGTTTACTTGTTCCGGTTGTGTAGAATGGGAGGCTGTATAGGTATAACTAGGGCAAGAAATGCCTCAGTTAATGATACATCGGAAAATTCGACGAGAACTAATTCGGGTGAGAGATTGTGTGGTGTGTAAAAGAGATTCGAATCTATCGGAAATAAAAGATACATGAAACGTCAACTAACCTTGAAATTACTTTATTTTTGTCGTTATACTCGAGGTACATGTTACCTATTAAGTATATGTACCATTTATATCTGTTCAAGATTATCAAACAATATTTATAAAAGAAAAATTATATATATATATATACATATATAATATGTGTGTGTGTGTGTGCGTGTGGTGTGTGCGCGCGCGCGCGCGCGTGTGTGAGTGTTTACATGTATTTCAACATAGTCACAGCAGATTAGACGTGCAGATTATAATGTAGGATATACGACTTATTTTTACAATATATAGATGGAAAGAGAATTATATTGTAAATTAAAATTGTTGGAAACTTATACCAACTGCTTTATACCGCAATAACTTTTGATCTATATATTGTAAAATTGAGATTTGATTAGATTATATTGCAAGCAAGTGCAACTTTGAAATTTACACAAATACATACATAAAAAAAAAAAAGAAAAAACTATCTAAAAAATTAGAACATTTTTTATATATCAGTACAATATTTTCCAGATTGTTGTATTGTCCAAGTATAATAACACTCTATGAATACAATAAGAAACATAAAAAACTTTTAATATAAGTAAATGAAAAAGAGATTGTTTTATTTGATATATCATATTATAATAAATATTATAATATAAATTTCTCTGCCATATACTCTATTATATTAAAGCTAATAGGATATATATTAAACTAAAGCAATATGTATTAATATATACATTTTGAGGAGAGAGATAAAATTTTTTGACTTTTGTTTATCTCTATTCCTTTAGGAAATACGAGAAAAAATCATCTTCTATGTCACGAGGTAATTAGATGGAAATCAGATGTACCTCTAACTGAAGGTCAACTAAGAAGTAAGCGAGATGAGTTTTGGGACACTGCACCAGCATTTGACGGTCGCAAAGAGATTTGGGATGCATTGAGGGCAGGTGCAACTGCAGCAGAAGCACAGGACTATCAGTTGGCACAGGCCATATTAGACGGAGCTAATATTTCTGTACCTAATGGTTTCTTAACAGAATGTTATGACGAGTTAGGAACTCGTTATCAAGTACCTATTTATTGTTTATCCTATCCGATTAATATTGTAAAGGAAGATAGTGGAAGAGACTCACCCGCTGATTGTTCAGGTAATAAAATTTTGTGGAAACATCTGTAGAATATATTTTGTAAGAATTTAATTGAATTTTGCACTTTATTGTTTTCATTAATTCTGCATAGAACCGGTTGACGAAGGAACAGAGCAAACTTTGAAACTTAGACTATCGAGTACTTTAGGAGAAGTTAAATTACCTGTTTATAGCAATGACACTATTGCTATTGCAAAGAAAAAATTACAGGTTAGTACAATATCAATTATATTTATAATAACTCTGAGTGCACATGTTTGTGTATGTTGTACGACAATAATCACTGTTAATAATAATTATGATGCTCATAGAGTCAAGAAGGTTTGGAACCATCGCGTCAAAGGTGGTTCTTTGGTGGTAAATTATTGGGTGATAAAATGCATATAGAAGAAGCAAAAGTGCAGCCAGGTTATGTAATACAAGTAATTGTAAATCCAGAAAAAATGGACAGCAACTGTGCAAAAGCTACTTGAATTTGTATGTAAACATGACAAAAAGTATGTTATGTTCAATCAGCAATCAATAATAGGTTTATTTTTACTTTTTGACAAAATTCATTAACTGCATGTCAAAGTAATATCATATGTGTGTTCTTTAATTGTTTATTATTTATAACTATGAATATCATCAAAAGTGACAAATCATTTTAAGAAAATGTGAACATAACAGAATTTCACATTATTAACTTGTATTTAATGAAATCATGAGTTAAGTGCAATTACAGTTTTGTTTACTCTATATATATTATATTTATCCATATATATTATCGTGCAATGTAAAAAAATTATGTAAGAATAGCATTTATATAAGAAAAAAGAGAGAAAGAGAGAAATATCAAGTAGAAGCATAGAAGCATATCTTTATAAATTTGGTTATCTTCAATATGATATGCTCCAAGCAAATTGACTGAAAAATATATAGATTTATTTATATTTGAACAAAATATATAAACATTATTTTTTATAATTTATGTAGTTTTATTTTATCAAAAATCTTTTTACATTATAATTGCAAAAATTATTATATAAAAGTTAAATATTATTGAATTATATATTTAAATAAAACGACCATTTATGAGATAATGTTTCAAATAATAGAAAGTGTATACACACTTACACACACATATAAAGCATAGAATATATATTGCTTTTACAAAATGGGGGGAGGGGGGGAGAAAGTAACTTTTGATTCTACTCTCTTGTGTCTTTGTCATATTATATTACTTAAAAATGCAAAATGTATACTGATATTGAATGGACAATACTGGACAAAAAGCAAAATATAATACTCATTGTAAAATATATCTAAATTATACCTAGGAGACATTTAATGTGTTTCTACTTGCGATACTACTGAGTTATTCCTTATTCTATTGTAATTTTTATTACAATTTAGTCTTATGTAAGAAAATAATACAAGAATTTATCTCTTTGTTTCTTTTAATACATATTCTTCAGCTAATATTTCAGTTTTAATACATTAATCGTCCTATTAATACTATGTAATATAATAACATGAATCTAAATTTTACTGTACTATCGTATATTATTATATCTTCTCGAGTAAAAACCTAAATTTGATAGGCCTAATCATATAAATACAGCTAAAATCTCGAATAAGATTTTGACAACCGAATCGTATAGAAAAAAGTATAATAATAAGACTAAGAATAAATCCGCATTTATCTTGCATTAAAAAATTAGGAGTTTATATATATATAACCAATAGGTTTGTTATATGTGCATGCGACACACACACATATAATATTGTATATATTAGAGGGAGGGGGAGGGAAGGAGAGAGACGGACAGATAGACAGATAAATTCTCAAAGAAAGCTTTGCATCAAACAAATCAGTGATTATAATTATCAAATGAAAAAATTTGTTTATCGTAATGTTATATGTAATCTTATATTTTTATTTATCGTAATTTTATATGTAATACTTAAATTGTGCATATAAGGAAAAAGATTTACACTGCCCAGTCTCGATTAATTTATAAAAATTTCGAAATTTTGATAACTGATATTTAATTTTTTTTTTTTTTTTTTTTTTTTTTTTTTTAAGTGTCAGTCGACGAATGTTTATTCTATTAAAAGGCAACACAGGGGGAGGAGGAGAGAGGTGAAGAGAAGCTATAATATTTTTTCTTAATTAACAATTATAGAAAAATCAATCAGTGAAATTGTATTTATATCCATATTACTATGTAACATTAATTATTAAGTACTGTTCACATTGCAGGAGTTACAATAACGCTAATAAATTTCTTTATCAAATTAATGTTAAGCTTAGCAGGTGTGTATAATTACTTTGGAATAATTTTAAAGACGCCCAAATAATAAGAAAGGAGCCAATCCAACTTGTGTATATGATAAAAATTGAGCGTAATAATCATCTTTTTCTCTCGTGAAATGTGCATATTATACAAGCACATTGTGACAGCTCAAAGAATACTAAATAAGATCTCTACATCACATAATTCATATATATATATA